TGATGACTTTACTCTTTGGTTATACTTTCCTTTTGGGTGTTTAAGACCATCGAGTTGGCCCAAATAAATCAATTTATTTTTACATTTAAGGTCACTTGAGGATATGTTCCTGAGGGGGTCACATGGTCTTGGGAGGATCTCCTGGCTCCTTTCTTTTACCAGTTCTATCTATGTGAAGATAAGTCAAAGGTCCTGGTCAACCATGTCTGGCTTCACTTGGAAGCATGAATGAGATATTTTCTCTGAGTTGAACCTCCTCTTTGTAGACTGGACACTGGTTCAAGTATATCTTGTGGGGTCTCCATGGCCTCCCTGAACAAGAGGACAGGTGACTCACCACAGTTACAGGACATTTTGAGAGATGTTTCATAGTCCCCTGGAACTTAGTCAACCTTGGAGGGCAAGGGGCAAAAACTGTCCTTTAAGTCCCTCTGACCACAGTAGTATAGGCCTCAAAGTATGGTTGTTGAACATCCAATAAGGTTAGTTCCACCAGTATGGTACTATTAATGAGCATGTGCTATGTAGATAAGGCTTGGGTAAAAAACCAAATATTATGAGATAAACCTTGACTGGACATATATTTTGTTCCTTAAACTAGTTGACTAAACTATGACCTTAGAAAGTTTAAGATTATGTGTTTATTATTTTTGTCTCATCCTTTATATATCATAACAAACCTACACAGATCTTCATCACTTGCTTAGGCTTTTTCATTTTTTTGGTCTATTTTGGAAAATATCTCTATTCCCATATCCTTTTAACATCTTTTACATTCTCATTTTCTTTTTTAATAATTATGAGACCTAATAGCATTAACAAATAAATGTCCCATCTGTTGTGAGTCTTCTTTTCCTGGGGATGCTAAGCAAAGCTTATTCCCTTTTCAGGTTCTAGTGTCAAGCCAATGTTTGATTAAAATTTTACTAGATCTCAGCATAGCTTTAATTTTCATTTTCCTGATGGAAGAGATGTTGATAATATTTTCACATCTTTATGTGACATCTGCAGTTCTTTTGAGAAGTCTCTCTTGAAATGTCTCCATTTAGTTATTTCCTGTTCTTCACTTAAATTTTGAAAGTTTTATGTGTTCTTCTGTTAATCAAACAAATACTTGAGGAAACGTACCCTTCCTTAAGTTGCTTTTGTCAGAGTATTTTGTCACAGTAACAGGAAAAGTGAGTACTTCAAAGGTTTTCCTGTCTGCTTTCCTGTCTGTGATAGTGACTGTTGTGGCTAGGCCTCCTCATCCTGTGCCAGCACATGTGGTTGTCACCAAGACCACAAGAAGGGGATAAAAAAGGAATCCTCTTTTAATTTTTTTTTTCCGTGTGTGGCCATTAATGAAACTGGGAATCTGTGTTTATTGAGGACCATGTCACCATTTAGGGATAAATACTCTAGGATATAAGTCCCAGTCCGATTGGTGAAAACACTGAGGTAGGTTGAGGTTCCACAGACGAAGAAAACATCTTGTTAAAATGGACAAGTGGTAAAGGAGAGGGAGAAGAGATGGACTAATCTGAATTATTTGTGATTAGATCACTTTCCCAAATAAAAAGAGAGCTGGTTAAGGCTGCTCCCATCAAGGGTTGAAGTATGAGAACAGAGGGTTTGAAGCATCTTGGAAGAATAGGAAACATTTGTATGTATACAGATTACAGGATGAAGAGGTGGTAGAGAGGGGTGGAACTTTCCACAGATTTGTGTGGATTCTCCATTTGTTTGCATGGGGAAAGACCAGTGTGTGAACTCGGGTGTCCTTAGGAGTATGAGGACTTGGTGCTTCTAAACTTGTAGGAGGTGGATAGAGAGCCTGAGGAACAAGCAGTAAAAGAAACTCCCATCTGGGATGGCGAAGACTGAGTAGCCATGCCAATAGGAGAGGAAACCAGAGGCAGATTTGAAAGACTGCACAGAAGGGGAGCCATTTGCCTTACTGAGGTGTCTCTGTGGAAAGTTGAAGGGGTAGTTGGGCCACTGAGGAGGTGAGGGGAGCCTGATTGGTCATAAGTTTAAAAAGTTTAGAGATATTTTGGATACATGTGTCATATAATTTGAAGGCCTTGTTTGTCAGAGTAACAGTATCTATCCAGTCATCAAAAGCAGGTCCCTTTTGCTTTAGGCTCTAGAGTGACTCTGTGAGTTTACCTAAGCCAACAAAGAGTGGGGACGGCAGTGTCTGTGGATGAAGAAAAGAGTAACAGAGTCAGCAGTCATAGGCCAGAGCAGTGTTGGAGTTACCAGGCAAATGGTGGGCAAATAAGTGCGCTCTAGGCTGCTAGAGAAAAAGAATCTCTTTAATTGGGACTGAAGAGACAAAGTGGAATGAGGAGAAGGGATAAATCAGGCAATATGCATGTTGTCAA